CAGTGCCTGGCTGCTACAAGAGCCGTGTTTGACAGATGCAATGCTTGTATTGCTGCAAGAGGTGCACATTTCGAACAAAATCTTCATTAAAAAGTTTATAAATAAAATAATTAAAATAATAAATTAAATATATTTTTTTCTTTTTTCGTGATTTCCTGCGAAACAAAGCAAAAAGGAGCATATGTCTATAGGACTTTTTTTCTTAGTTTTTTACTCCTCTACACGCTCCCGAAGTTTTGCCATTTAATTTGGAAACACCCTGTATATTGCAAAAAATTTGGGTGAATATTCTATACGAAGTGTGCAAGATATACAAAACAAGATGATAGCCTTTATTCAAGAAGAAGGCTTCATATTTTTTCCACTTCTTCATTAGCAATAAATTTTACTATTTCTACAATCTACCTTTTCATTATCAAAAGTAAGTAAAACTTATTATTTAGTGAGCTTATTTTAATTTGATTTTATTCTAGATATTATGGCAAATAAAAGTTGGAGAGTAGTGCACTTTATTACAGAAGATACAGTTGAAGCCGTGCTAGCATCCTGGGTTAAGGATATTAATACATGTTATTGGCCACCATTCAGTGGATTAAAATTAAGAAGTTTGATAAATAATTGCACCCCACCTGCCCAAAATTGGGATCTTCATCAATCAAGGCTAATTGGTGAATTATATGGTATATATTTATTTGTAAATGAATATTTTATTTTTTAACAATACAATACAAATTTTAGGAGATCTGACAGTAGCAAGAAATAAAACAGCTCAAGCTGAAGAAACTTCTGATTTAGCATCAGAAAATGAAAAATGTTCGAGGAAAATTAAAAAAACATCCAAATATATGTTTGATTCAGATTTAGATTCAAATGTGAATCTCAGCAAAACTTCCACTAATAAAAAAAAGAGTGATATAAGTTCAGAAAGTGATGAAGATAGTAAAGATGACGAAATAGTTGACATTCCAATTTTAAAGAATATTATCAAAAGTAGGTATATAATATAAGTAAAGTGTATGATAATGATGATATTGTTAAACATATATTTAAGAGCATCTTAGACATGAACTAAAGTTTTTTTTTTCTCTTAAAGTCTTATTCATGACATTTTTTTTTGTTAAGACAATTCTGTGGCATCTGTTTCAAAAAATATAGCCAGGATTCAAACTGATTCAAGTTAGTAACAATAAATATTCTTATTCTTTTGAATAGAAATCTCTCTCATAGATATTTTTTTAGTGCCGAGTACATCAAAAGAAAGTATTCCAAATATCATTAAGCCTCAAGATACTTCTACAGGTATTTTGTTAACTATTCAATATTAAATAATTAAAAAATGCATAAATTTATTTACTGATTTCCAGCATATTAAGATCCGTTTAATAGATGCCTATATTGAGCATCCAAAATTTAATTGTGATATTATTTCAGTACTTTAGCTGTGTTTCTAAAATTGTCGGTGCGCAGTTCAAGTGACTACAAATGTAGTATATATGTATAATATATATCAAATTAAAAAGTAAAATCCAAGTGGAACTATCTTTATCAAGTTATATGATCACCGCGTCACAGGTCACGTCATTGGCAGGCTGTGTTACCTAACCCTATCCAAGTAAATAATGTACTCTATTTAACAACTGATTAAGATTTATTCTTACACTTCATAATAACCACAAAAATATGTATAAAATATAGTTGAAGACATTATTTAGAATATTATATGCGTTATGATCGAGATGTCATCAGGAGTTGACACCGTTGCTTTAGAGGAAAAGAGAGGAACATACACAACGATAGCTCTTTGTCGCACAGTTTCTCTGTCAACTAGTTAGCTTCATGCCAGATCGAATGCTCGGTCTAGGTATAAAAATTCTATCTATCATATTAAAAAATAAAACACAAATGGTACTGTTTCTTGTTATTTACTTAATAACTCTAATGATATGTATCATTCGTATAAAAGATTTGATATC